TGACAAGGGTGGTGGAATGTTTGGATAATGCACTGTCCATTTCTTTTTTTTTGACAATCTCTTAGTAATTGATGGTACCATGCAGAAGTAGCAGTCCATGGCATGATCGGTTGATTCTCTCCAAATCATGGACACTGCAAAAAGTATAGCTTGTTCCTTCCTGGTTCGCCATTGACTAATATTTCTTGCACAGATATTACAGCATATGTGTGGTGCCCACTTCTTGGTCCCCAATTTTGCATTCAAAATTTAGCTGGCAAGATTTCTCACAGCAGCTGTTATATTTTGCTTTTGAGATGCAAAAGTCACTTCACTACACACATAGCAGAAGTTATCGACTTTGTTCAAACATTCACAGGACAATTTTCACAAGTCAGTTAAATGTGTGAAAACATGAGTGAAAAGAATAATAATAATTACTTTATTAGGAGAATAATTATATATAATGAGGTTATTAGGAATATAATAATTAATCTGGCAAGGACAACAATTTTGATGACACATTCATATAATACTAATATTATATCTTGAAATTTAGAGCCAATCAACAATTTTAGAAATCATTTTTATTTCCAGTGCCACAAGATTAGCTAAAATTGGCTATTTTTGTTTAGGAAGCATTCATGTTGTAAACCAGTGATATTTTTTTTCAATTGTATACTTTGAAGATGTTATAAATGCAGATGTTCTAATTTATAACATGCAATATATGACATAGAAATTACCAAGAATTTTAAACCCTTCAAAGTGCTTTAATAGTGATATGTTTACCAATAGCTCTTGTGGCATATGCAAATCTCTCAAACAAATGATTGTATAGCACAACAGGGCAATGAAAAAAAACTTTGCCCACTCAACGTCAGCTATCATTGCTAGTGTAATATATCTGTAAAGTAATTGGCCATAGTTAAATGTGATTGACAGAAATGTCCAACAAACAGAATTGACAAAGTTTGCAATAAATAATAACTAAAAAACAAGGCAAAAGTAATATTGATGTTGTATTGTAAATAAGAAAAGTTGACATACATATAGAAAATAAGAAGTAGTTTATTCCAGAGAATAATATGGTACATGGTTGAGAATACAGACTAATGTAATAAACAGTTAATTGTTAACACCTCTCCCTGAGTAAGAGAAAGTGCAGTTTGAATAGTCTTAGACAAGTTCATCTTGTGAGGGTGTTCAGCTACTGTTGTTTGTTTGATAACCGAGGCATTTTCATCTCATAGTTTTTGTTTGGAAACTGATTTGTTCAACATGTGAGATGTTTGAGAACCAAGGTTGCTCTGTGTGTGTGTGTGTGTATATATATATATATATATATATATATATATATATATATATATAGAAATTATTAGGAGGATTTGATAATTATAATTAAGTAATTCATTGCGTCTGAAAGAAACCTCAACAGAATGCAGAAAGCACTGACAACCTAACTGTCAGGGTTTCAATTCTCGGTAGTGGATACGCATTGCTGATGAGTCCCAAATATAGGACGAAATGGCCGTCCAGTGCTTTCTGCATTCTGTTGAGGTTTTCTTTCAGACTCAATGAATTAATTAATTATATATATATATATATATATATATATATATATATATATAGATATAGCATTTTTAGATATGCTATATTTATAGGTTAAGTGCTTAATATCAGAGATAGTTTATGTAAATATAAAAGTAGACACTGAGATCAACACCAAGTACCAACACTCAGTTTCATGCTTGAATGCAATCTTCAGGCCATGTGTATTGTTTTAGCTCAACTATATACACTGGTCAATGATGCATTATGAGTAATAAGATCTATTATATTATACTAACAGTTACTGGATTGGTACAACAGAAAAAAATGTACCATACCTTAAAATTATATTTTTATTTTATTTAGCTCCTGATAAACTTAAATCACTTTCACTACATTTATAACCTGTTATGGACATTGAAAAATTTAGCTTTGATTACTCCCTAAAAAATATACTAATCCTAGGACAAGCTACTTACAAACTGAAATTAATAGAAAAGATAAAATTAATAATAATTAATCTTCATAAAAAAATGAGATGAAAAGTGCATTTGTTCTTAAATCAAGAACTTAGAACAAATGCCACCCTCAAGGAAATATACTGTTTCAAACAAAAAATGTCCCCTGTAACACAACTAGACAACTTCAAAAGAGACTTGATAAAGTAAGAAACATGAAATTTTATAAACAATTAGGTGCTTTCCAGAAAAAAATAAAAAGAGATATAACTAAAATAAACAATTCACCTAACGTATTTATCACAGTGGACAAAACTAGAAATTTATACAAACTGAGCACCCAAAGCACAACAAACTACTCAAGGACAACATAACTAAAATATACAGAAAAGCACTAAAAGCTACAGAAGATGATATTAACATGAAAGCTAAATAAATTGGCCAAACATTGAACCTAGACAACCAAATTAAATTCTTTTCACTAAATCACAAGCATTCATTATACAAAAAGACCACAAAGAAAACTTCAAAACAAACCCAACATGCAGACTCATAAACTCAATTTAAAAGTGAACTAGGTAAAATAATACTAGAAAGAATTAACTCAGAACTAAAGAGGATGTTAACAGTAAAACAATGGAAAAACACTAAAACTACTATAGACTGGTCCTGCAACTGAAAACACAAACATAATTGGGAATTTATACAACTAAATATAAAAGATTTCTACCCTTCCATAACTGAACACATGCTAGATAAGGCCATCTTCTTAGCTCAGAAACAAATAAAAATAAATACAAACAAAATAAAAATCTTTAAGCACTCTTGGAAATTACTACTATTCAACATTGAATGATAAATAAAGAAGGGACCTTTGATGTTACAATAATAAGCTTTGATGGTGCAAAATCCTGTGAGTTTATAGGTATAGATTTACTATATAAACTAAGTAAAATAATCAATGAAAATGATATGAGCATCTATAGGGACAGCATTTTTATATTCCTAAGAAACTGTAACTGACAAAAAAACAAGCAAAACCAGAAAAATAATCATAAAATTTAGATTCATCCAACTTCTTCTGAATCCTCTGCACTGTCCTAAGATTGACACCCAAACACTCTGTAATGTTTGTATTGGAGCTTTTGGGGCAATTGCCAAGCTGTACAATATACCATTTCCAAATTTCTTGTGGAGTGAATTGCATTATGGTGCTCTTTTTCTCACAGATGGTACCCAACTGACCCTACTATACTGTGCAGTCAACAAAATCAAAAACAAAGAATGCACATTCACAAAATTAAAAACATAAAATGGCGACAATTTACCCATCGCACTATATATATATATATATAAAAACACCAACTGTTGTTGATATGTGTAACAGAACACTTATCACTTCACAGCTCATACAACACCACTCTCCCTTGGCTCCAAGCTCTAACTTTTCTCCTTGTTTTTTCTCTCAGTCACAAATTGCAAGCTCCACTAGCTTTGTTGAATAATTCCTTCTTGGTTGATTCAGGTTTCCCAAAATCATATGAGAACACTAAGTGGTTTATTGAATATAAAGAAAAAAATGGTTTAATCAAATGTCTCTATTATCTACTGCAAAATCAAGATCTATACTGCAAGGTGGTGATTTAAGAATTGTAGTCACAACAGCTAAAATTATAGCCAGCCAGGCGACCCTTCCTCAATTTTTCTGTCATATGTGTGTCTGTGTGTTTGCTCAGGCCACAGAAATGCAGGTATGTTTCTTGTGTCTGACTAGTCTTAAACAAACACTTTTCCCATCTCTCCTGTGCCTGGCAAGCCAGTGCTTTTACGGAAAACTCCACAAATTTGATATTGATATATCTAATTTCGCCACCCAGTCATCTTAATTTTGGTGATCTTGCTAATTAACCATATGGTATTTCCTTTGTATGTTTAAAATCTTATTAGATGTCTTTCTCTAAAGGTAATTGGGTTCTTGGGTGATATATGTAAACAAATTCCAAATCTTTGGGCTTAACACAAAACAGACATTTTGTTTCTTTGTCTAAAATAATTTAGATCCTTATTTTCTGTGATCACACACATTTCCTACAGATATCAAATAAACAAAATGTCTAGTTTCTCAGGACCCAAGAAATTTGGACAAAACATTAATCAAATCTTTTTCTTATTGGTGGGAAGTGGACACGGTTGGGTGTCTTGGTTTTGCTCAATTTTACTGAATCTTGTCCAGTTAAATCTGAGTTCGATTCTCCTTGGAACTATTCTTAATTTCATTTTATTATCTTAAAATATAAATTTTGGTGTGTTTCATTTTTAATTTTCTTCTCAACCATTCAACCTTCTCTCCTGAAAAATTTAACAATTATCATCCAATTAATCATCCTTCCAAACCACCATCCTGTAATTTCATGCATTTAAACAGGGCCAATGCCCTGTTACACATATTATATAAAGTCTATAATAAGTATATATTCTATCTATCTTCATAATTTCAAAATATTTTCTATTTGGAATTAAGGCTATATCGTTGAAAACTGAGTTGCTCTGAGGTTTTGAAATTAAATTTTTAAAGCCTTTAACATTCTACATTATTCACTACTTTATTTTCTACTGCATTTTTTTCAAGTTTCCTCTAGTACACTACGTAATTTCACTTTAATGGTCATTTTCTGTTGCCATAGCAGGATATGACAACACAACCTCAAAATTTAAACATGCTATCATTTATTCATCTGAGTCACTTGCAGTGGCAGGAAAAAAATTTGCTTTGTAAACAAAATCACCTCCAGTATGTTAAAAGTTAATTTTAGAAGTAAATTTCTCTCAAATATTAGCAACAGGATGTGTATACAAACTAAACAAGATTTATCTTTGGTTAAAAAAAAAAATACTGAAAAGGGGGAAAAATAATTTATCTACTGATAGCATTATTAATATATATTTATTTATTCTTTCTTTTATTATATATATTTTTTGTTTTGTCTTATTCCCCCTTTTGTCTGTTTTCAGACAAGAACTTCATTCGATTTGGATGACCAAATGTCTGAGTTCAGTTCACCTCTGCAGCTGGGATGCATCTTATTTTCTCATGTATGTCTCTTTTGTTGCCGCTGCGTCTCTTGGACATGCACTTCTGCCCATACTCGTTTACACATGTATCCCTATGATAAAACTTGTCATATTCAGTATGTTGTTTTTTTTCTATATGGGTATCCGAAACTTTAGTGAGTCACTGACAAGTTGTAGCAGAATTCAGGTAAAGTTATTATTTTATTCATCATCTTCAAAAACTTGTTTTTTCTCTCTTTCTCCAACATTCATTAATACTTTCTTTCTTTCTCTCTCCTTACAACATTCATTAATATTAGACAATTTTTCTCACAAGAATCTATCTTAACCCTTTATAAATCTACCATTCATCTGTGTATTTAATATTGCTGCCAATCTGGTCTGGTGATGCGGCTGTGTATTTAGAGATTCTTGATAAATCCCAAAGAAGAATTTGCAATGTTATCAGCCTGACATCTTAGTATCCAGTCAACTGAGAGTGGAATATGAGGGCAAACTGCAAGCTTGGATGGATCAGGAATGTCCTGAGGAGGAACTTAGACCTCTCAGAGGTTGATACCATTGATGGCTGTAATACAAGCAAACAAGAAAAAAAAAAGTGTCCTGTACTAGAATTTCAGGAGTTAAATGCATGCATCAATTCATTTATAGCTGAATTAGATGTCTGTTAAGAAATTGGAAAGAACAAGATACAAATGTATTAATCATGGACCTTGGGAAAACCTACCTACAGACACACATTCTCTGTGACTATACTAGACATTCATGTTTAAGGGTCAATGATATTGTCTCATAAATTTGGGATTCAGCTTTAATACTTTTGCATTCAACCAGTCTTGTAAATATCCGCTCTCAATGTTCAACCTGTCATAACACATCCCATGTATACTCTGCCATATTATATGATGATATCATCACAAATAATGCAGGAATTTAGTGAGACCATGAGAGCCAATATTTATGGGGGGGTGTTTGAGCATATTGAATGCTAAAGAGTTAATGTGGCACCTCTAATAATGTGGTTCATGCTTGAAGCTGCACTGTTATTGGATGAATCAGTCTGAAAAGCAACTTTGGTATATATCAATGAAGATGTGGCATCAGCAATGACTGTCAGAGAACATTTGACAAGATGAGGGCCGATGAGCAATGACCCAAAGAGCCTGCAAAATGGTGCCTGAGTATTGAGACTTGAAATCTAAGGAAACATTTCAGCCTTCAGTAAAGAAGTGATTTGGTGGGTGCTTCCCAGATCATCATACAAAGAAATGTTTTTTCCCCTCTGTGGAAAACCTGGTGGGCACTTTAATGTATGTGGGTGGCTTTGTACACTAACAAACTTTATCAAACACCTTCAGAACTACTGTCATGCAAGGATGAGATGTCAAAGCAGACGATATTCCCCTAAAAACCAATGCTAACAGAATCCATTACCAGAGTGCAACAATATGACCCTGTACAAGGAAAGTGGTATCTAAACAGAAAGGAAATGAACATATAGGTGGATGCAAGTCCTCTAATTGTGGGGGTATCACTTGAAGTAAATGGGTCAGCTATTGAGGATGTGTGCTTGTAGCAGCCTCTAAAAGATAAGCAGTATATCAATATGACATCTCAATGCTCTATTGAAAGGTGTCAACCTTGCACTTAAATGGTAAACAAGGAAGATACATTTGTAATGTTTTCTTTGTTCAAAATAGCCAAGAATTAGGAAGGTCATCAATAGAAACAGTATCAAAGGAATGGAAGACTAGGTAGAGGAAACAAAGATGAAGAGGTTTATTAAATACTCATAAACAGGAGTTCAAAATAGCCGAGAATTAGGAAGGTTGTTTTAGAGAGAGTATCAAAGGAACAGAAGACTAGGTAGGGAAAACAAAGAAGATGCTGTTTATTAAATACTCATACAAAGGAGTTTAAAATAGCCGAGAATTAGGAAGGCTGTTGTTAGAGTACCAAAGGAACAGAAGACTTGGTAGGAAAAACAAAGAAGAGGTTTAGTAAATACTCATATACAGGAGTTCAAAATAGCCAAGAATTAGGAAGGTCATTGTTAGAGAGAATATTGAAGGAACAAAAGACTAGGTAGAGGAAACAAAGAAGATGAGGTTTAGTAAATACTCATAAATAGAACAGGAAAATTTGAGTATCCTCATATCCTCCTCTAATGTGGCTACTTGCCCTATTTATAAGTTGGAACAGTCCATTGTCACTATAGTAGGGAAGAGCAGGAAGAAAGCTGAGTCCTACTCTGCAACACAATTGAAGACCAACTCTCTATGCATGTATCACTGAGTATCCAATGCACTTATAGGTAAGGTTTGATTAAATACCAAGCAAGGTGCTATATAAGGAGAGGACTAGGTAATTAATGCTCTTGGGGACAAATATGACCTTTCGGTTCATATAGCACTGGTGAGACAAAATCAAAATCTGAATGCTGCAGGGATGGTTCAATATTGTCAAAGAGGAAACTGAACTCAAAATGTGTCTCTGTGCTGCCAAACAAGACACTGCAAGTTGAAATCAGTGTTCTGTGAGCATGGCGCCCTCCTATCAAGATACTCGTCTTCTACAGCCAACACTTCAGTCAGTTCTTAGATGAATGGGGCATCAGGCAGTGATGTGCGTATGCGTATGGCATAGTTGAAAGATGCCACAGGACTGCAAAGAAAGTAGTTTACAATAAGGAAAACAGATTTTATTGTTACAATGTCTTTTACCCTCAACTGCGCCTGCCAATATACACCTCTGTCAAGTCTGGCTGAAGTGCATTGATGTGGAAACTCCACCTGCTTCAGATAACAGGTAAGCACTGAGCCAATTGAGGGACCCTGTGTGAGTAAAAGACCCACACAGTCAGTACACAATGCAATATCGAATAGGATGCATAACTAGAATTAATAGCCGGCTCAAGATTCTTGTCATTGGAATACTATGCAACATAAAGGATTTGTAGCCCTTTGTGGCTCCTGGCATGTCAGCAAACGAGACAAGCATAATATCTTCAGACTGCAAAAGTTTAATCACTATTAGAGGTGCAATCGGTTTACTCTCAGAAGCAGACATCTGTCTAATTAAAACCTCTGTGGAGACTGCAGAGCCTGACAACTTGTCAGGAGAAGAGACAGTAATTCTCCCACTAAGAAGAAGCACCAGACTAAAGAGGTTTGCTCCATGTTGTCAAATGTGGTGGTGGGGGGGGGTCATAGGGGTCACAAGGGAGAAAACTAAGTCCAACCTTAAAAATATTGTCTGTGCTATATGTCGAAGATCAGAATCAAATCAAGATCATCGACTTTAGTCAGCCTTGAGATATGTTAATTATTTGCATTTACCTACCAGTCTTGGCCTATCACAACCTTTCTAATTCTAATAAAAGAATGCTACTTTGGACTGCAGGATTATTTGGTTCCCTGTGGTTGAAGAAGGTAGTTGTGCATTGCAAGTTGTGATGTGAATTTTTTACCCTTTTGATATATGTTCTCAGCATTTTCTGATGTTGAACTTGGTAGATTTTTGACCCTAGGAATTACGACCTCAGATTTTATGACTGTTTAGATGTGAGGCCTCCCTATTGCTATTTACCTGAGGTTCTGATGAGCTTTCTTCTTTCGTACTTTGACTTTATGAATTGAAGTGCAGTACTAGATTGGCAGCTAGATCTCGTGATTTTACCGTTGAAATGGCTAGATGTAACTATTCTATGCTAGCAGTTTCTTCTCACCTGTGGGATTCTCTTGCTTTCCAAAAATTTAAATCCAATGTCAATTGTTATCTTTTAGATTCTTAATTCCTGTTATTTTATTATTCTCTCTCATTAATAATGTTTTCTTTTCCTCATATTCTTTCATACCCAGTAACCCATTACATCTTAGGGTCTTTATTGCCTTGCTTGGTGTGAAATGATTAAAAAAATTTTCTTTCTCTCATCTTCTAATATTTATTAATATTTTCTTTTCTTTGTTTTTTTCTTTTTCTCTCTCTAATTTTGGTAATGATTTTTCTCCCCCCCCCTCCCAATTTGATTCAAATAATCCTCTCTGTATTCATTTTTTCTTCATTTATTTTCTTCAACTTTGTTTATTGCTCTCTTTTGCATCTTGCTTCTTTTATTTTTTTGGCTTGTCTTGTAAAGTAGCTGCAATGGTATTGTTTTTTTTTTATTTTTTATTTTTTTTCATTGGCATGATTAATTTCTTAAATTTGCAATTATTATTATTTGCTGCTCAGTATTTGAATTTTAAATGGTTTCTTTGCTTTGTTTCATGTCTCTTAACTCTCAATAACCACTTACATCCTAGTAACCTTATCGCCTTGATGGGTGAAATGATTAGAGAAAAAGAAAAAGCTAAAAACCCTCTTTCAAAATCTGAACAATATCATCTGCAAATTTCAGAATTTATAGCATCCTTTTTTTAGAAGACTCTGATTAGTCAAAAAACAGAAATATGACCATTCAAATTTTTATGTCTTTGGAGATTCTTTTTACAGGGAAATGACAACTTCATTTCTGTAGGAAAAATATAAAAGGTTTGTAACACCTGAGGTTGGTCACTGGTCACCAAATATAATATAGGAGTGACTGCAACTCTCTGGCCACTGTATGTCTGATATAAATTTTAGCCAGTAATTTCCTTCATCAGACCTATGTCATCTAGTGAGAAATCTTCCTTTACGTTGTGTACATGTTGGGATGAACTATGAGCATACTCATGCGGTTTGAATTCAGTAAATTCTTTTCTTCCTTTGAGAGATATCTAATGGGTGAACTGTGGGTGTGCAGCCAACTTTGTGGCTACTAGAATTTCAGCAAAAACGGATGGCAGTATTGTCCCTTGGCAGCCAGGTGTGAACTGAGTTAAAATTGTGTGTGTGTGTGTGTATGCACGCTTATGAACATAATAGTTTGAACTTGGGTCTTTGATTAATTAAGCAGTCACACAAAGATCCCTATTAGCATTGTATGTGACCCATGCTTCTAAAACACTAAATTGCTCAACATTTCTTTGTTTCTCAATACCCCAAGTCACCAAACAGTAGTTCATGTAAGAAGAGGTTGTACATAAAGATTGTGTGTGTGTGTGTGTGTGTGTATATATATATATATATATATATATATATATATATATATATATATATATATATATATATATATATAAATAATAATAATAATAATAATAGTAT